AATTTGCCACTATTTTTAACCTCAAGTATTTTGAAGGCAGACTCACTTTTATTCTATTCTGCCTTTTCTTGACCTGTGGCCATCCTAGGTACAAACTAATGGATTCCTTAAGAGAAATGACAAATGCTGGCGTGGATGTGGAGAGACAGGAACACTCTTACACTGCTGGTGGGACTGAAAATTAGTGCAACCTTTGTGGAAAAGAATTTGGAGATACCTTAAACAGCTAGAAATAGAATTACCATTCGACCCAGCAATAGATTGTTGGGCATCTCCACAAAAGAACATAAGTCTCTCTATTATAAAGACATCTGCACCCTAATGTTTATGGCAGCACAATTCACTATTGCACAGTCATGGAAACTACCCAAGTGCCTGTCAATTCATGAGTGGATAACTAAAATGTGGTATATGCTCACAATGGATTATTACTCAATCCTAAGAAACGACCGTGAGCTAGCACCATTTATGCTATCCTGGATTAAGCTTAAACCCGTAATACAAAGTGAGACTACACAAGATCTGGAAAATGGGCTACACATCTATTTGCCATCAAATTGGTACTGACTAAAACTATGGTGCTCAAAAAATGGTAGTGTTCAACAGGGATTGGGGGGGATCCACATCTTAAGGATGTGGCCAGCATTGTGGGGAGAAGGGATTACCTCTATCTGTTTTTAGGGAGAGGCAAAGATATACACTGTATCCAAAATGTCTGAAAAAAAATCTGTAATCGGGAAGTCAGCAGGTGGAAGGGGGAAGGTAGGGAAGGGCATGTACTTACATGGTGGGTGTGGTGCACACCACCTGGAGGCGGGACACGCTAGAAGTTCTGGAATAGCAGGGAGCGGGGGGAGGGCGGGCAGGGGCAAGATATGTAACCCTAACAATATTTGTACCCCCGTAATGTCAGCTCATAGAAAAATAAAATAAAATAAAAAGAGAAATGAAATAAGAAAGAGCTTGAGTGGGAATATGAATGGATTCTAGTCACAACTGGCTCAATAATTTAGGCTTACATAAATCACGTAACCTCGATGAGCCTCAAATTTTCCATCTATAAAATGAGTAACATAATTTTTTTCAAGGGATACCTCTGGGACTAATAGACACTATACAGAAGAAAATTTCAGGCCATTGCAAAAATACCCATTGTAATAACTAAAGCTATCTGATGACTGTGCTTGTTTGCTTCCAGAAACAGAATTCCTGGCTGATGGAAGAGGTTAAACATAGACTTAATGATCATTTAGTGGGAGAATTGAGCATTGAAACATAATTGAAAAACTGGAAGAATGGTTAGGGTAAAAGTCCTTTACAATCTGAGATTTGATGACTACCAACTGTTCTTCCAAGGGATTATTGTGGCATTCCAAGGTTATGTGTAAGCATGACAAGGTATAGGACATACTACCTCAAATATATCACCTTGAAAATGACCAAAGCAGAAAGATCTCTCTGAAGTGCTCCCACTCCCTCTCTTTTGAAGAACCAATGGAAGGAAATGTTGCATAGTGAGGTCAAAAAGAACCTGAACAACCAGACATTGCTATGTTCCCCTCAGTTTATTACCATTAGGTTAATACTCATTTTTTTTTTTTTTTTGTCCAATGATACCTGGCCTGACCGTCCATTCTTTGTCAAACCTAAGCATAAAAATACACAGGTTCCCTGAGTCTTTGGGTCTTCATTTTGGAAAGCTCTCATATAATATAAGCCTTTGGTTAAATAAATCTGTTATGTTTTTCTATTGTTAATTTGTGTTTTGATATAAGTGTGTCAGCTATGAGCCTTGCAATGAAAGAGGAAAATATATTACTTTTTCTCCCCTACAAATACAAACAGAAAACACACTGAGACTTTGTCTTCGATATTGCCACCAAAAAGACTATCATCTCACTTCTTTTTATAATATTTTATTCAAATTCTAAGTGGTGACATTAATAATAGCTTTTCTGTCTACCTCCTGGGTTTGTTGTAAGGACAATAAATTTCAACATATGTTGAAAATTAATAGTACCAGAAAAAAAAAACAACAAGGTGATATTATTAAAAGTATTTCAATGGTGTTCTCTCCTGTTCCCTACAGTGACATAAGTTCTGCTAACTCAACTGTATAGACTACTTCCTGCATGTGAGGGCTTAATAATAGTTTGAAGCCAACACATCACCATCTGTTTAGCCTGATGTACTTCTATGTTTGGCTGCAGTTGAGACGAGCGTTGAAAAATATTTAACGGTATGCAAATTTAATAGCTTTATCTTTTTAATTGTGTGTTTGCAAGTTTCTCAGGAACACCAGATATTAGAATCTCATTCTTAGATTTATCCCTCATCACTCACCACTTCACCCACAAACGGATAATATTCTCCAAATCTAGCTGCACTGAACTAAAAAAATGCTCCACTAATATGCTGTATTAATCAGCTATTGTCAGAGTAATACAGCATGATAAACCACCTCAAATTTGGAGTCATAATGCAACTAGTGTTCGTGATTTTTCTAGTTTTCAGGTCTGTGTGGCAGCTGGAGCAGATCTGCTTCAGGCTTGCATGGGCTGAGCTTCGTTCCTTTCATTGGGTTGGATTTAGGGCTGTCCCACAGGTTTTCTCATTCTTCAGGAACCAGCTGCTTCCTGCAGTATGTTCTTCTCTTGGAAAATAGTAGAAGTACTCTGAGTGCCTCTAAAGACCTTGGCCCAACACTAATAGATTTTCTTACTGTCTATGTTCCATTGGCCTAAACAGTGATATGGTTGAGCCTACATCAATGGGAAGGAGAAATATACTAGCTATTCACCATGACACTAGCACTACCAGGTAAGTTCACATAAATACTATAGACTGAATGAATATTCAATCAATGAAGGATTTCACTTTGTGCCAGAGAATAATTCCAGTTGAGTATTTCCAGTCTGCAGCTTTGTATTTCTCAAAGCAACCTTTTTTGGTTTGTTGCAAACCCCCTATTATATTGAATAAATTTAATTTACTCAATTTTCTTCCAATTAGGCCTCTAGTTCCCCTGGTAAACAAGTATACTTCCCCTTAGACAAGACAGCCCTTTCAAATAATTGAAATAATTTTCCCATTCTAAATATTCCCATTTACTTTCAACAGTTCTCCACCTGATATGTTCTTTCCTTATTCACATGTCCCTGAAAATAAATGAGTTTGTTAATACATAGATTTCAGGTAGTCTTCATATACCTCATAGAAGGTGCTCACCTATTTTCAGCAGCCTGTATGCTATCAATATTCCAATTAATGCAGTTATTTTTAAGTAGTTACAAAAAACAATAAAAATGGTTAAAATTATGAAAATCTTTAAGTACAAAGGAAAATGATACAATATATAATTGAGATCTCTATATCTGTGCCCTAGGTTTTCAACCATTAATAATTTCCTGTATTTAATTGGAACTTTAATAAATCATAAATCATTACATATCTAGTTGAAATCTACTTTGTATCTCTCCCCTTTCTCAATTTCTCCCATTTTCCCCTAAGAGGTAACCACCAGCTTAAACACTTTATAAAAATTTATCACATTTTAAGTAACAAAGTAAAATTCTACATACATCAAATAATCTCCTCCAGACCACATTCTTTGCAATTAGAATGTAAATCAATAAAAATTATAAACAACATATGCATGTGAAAAGAATGTCTATTCTTGTATTGATTGCAGCATTCTATTTACATTAAATGTGTTTTCAAATCTCCTGCAATTGTGCTACTATTTGATCCAACATTTACTGGCAGAGGTGCATTAAAAATGTTCACTGTATATGATTATGGATGTATAAATTTTTATTTACAGTTTCTCTTCACTTGCCTTGAATATTGCAGATTAGCGTTTTAAAATATTTTCATGCTTTTTTTATTACAACCTGGCACTTTTACACCTTAATAATGCTTTTCACATAAAATCTGTTTCTGATATTAATACAGGTATACCTGCTTTACTTTTTGCCTACATTTTAAAAAATTCTTTGTTACCTTCCTGTATCCTTATATTTCTTTTAAACCAAATGTAGGTTAGTACTATTCTTTTATTCAATATGACACTGATAATATGTGCCTGTTCTAAGAAACACAGATTCATCTCCATTTATTCTGATTCCTGATATTTTTATACATACATATTATTATTTCTCTTTACCTTGTGTTTTCCTTGTTTATTCTTCTTTCTTTTCTACCTTTTATTATATTAATTTTTTATTTATGCCTCCATTTCCCCTCTGTTGTTTTTAAGTTATATGGTTTATATGGGGCATTTAATATATGAGTTTATATTTTTAACATGATTATTTTAAAAGTATGAAGTTAAACAAGATATCTACCCTTCTTTTAAATACAGCAAAGACTTTGAAATGTTTTAATGGTGATACCTTTTCTCACAACTTACTTATAACTGTGTAGTGTTTTAGTTCTATCTTAATTGTTATATCACAAAAAAATTATTGCTTCTCCTCCTCTTCCTGCTGCTCCTCTCCCTCTTCTTTCCTACAGGTTTGCAAACTAATGTATTAGATCATGCTAAATCTTGGTTATGGCCCTTATTTCATGGAACCTGTCTCCTTAGCCTTGGTTCCATGAACATATTTGCTAAGCAGACTTTCCTTTTTATATTCACTTAAAATTTTTTAATAAAATTCTTTGTTATATTTGGGTCTAGGACAGAGATTTTGCAAATTTAAGGAAGAAAAATCAACTATTTCATTAATTTTATAATTCCATTGGCAATATGACACCTACATGTACCCTTTTATATTTAGAAAATTGAGAAAATTTGACATATTCTGGCTGATAATGAGTAATGGGTCACATTTTTATATCAATTTCTTTCTTACTTAAGTCTTAACTGCTATCACAAATTTGTCCTTCTTCTGTTTGAATAGTTTACCTTATCTTCTCTTTTGTGGTAAATGCATTTGAGGTGAGGTTAAACATAAAGTGGTCTCAAAGATCTGAGAGTTTTAAAAAAAATCACCTACCTGGCCAGCAGTGTCCAGGATGTCCAAATAAGCTGGCTCATTGTCAATCCTAACCTGGGTCTTATAAGCATCTTCTGAAAAACACAAGGCAAAGTACATTTAAACATATTCAATAGAGAAGGCATGATTTATTTTTAGAGTTCATAACAAAGAAGAATTTTTAAATAAGCTACTAAGTAAGTGATATGCTACTCAAGTAACATACATAGATTGAGAATTATTTAACCTAGAAAAATATGTGAAAAGAAGTTTCTGCTTAAAATGTAGCCAGGTATATTTCTCTTTCATCAGGAGAGTTTAATGATCCAAGGTGCTCTATTGATGTTATGAAAAGAAAAACTCATAGAATAAATGTATTAGTTCTTTCCTAAATATGGGACACAAAACTGCATCCTAATATTATTACATAATGGCTAAAAGCATCTTCTAGAAGATCATGCACAAGATAAGGATATTCATTCTCACCTCTTTCATTTAATATAGTATGGGAAGTTACAGCCAGAGCAATTGAACAAAAAGAAAAAATAAAATCTTTCAGATTGTAAAAGGCATAAAATTCGCTTTGTTCACAGATAAAATAATTTTATATGCAGAAACACTAAAGATTTCTTTCTCCATACCCCCACATGCAAAACCTAAATGAATTCAGCAAAGTTGAAGGATATCAAATTAGCAAGCAAAAATCAGATGCATTTCTGTAAATTAACAATAAGCAAACCAAAAAGAAAAAAAAATAGGAAATTAATTTCACTTACAACATCAAAAAGAATAAAATACTTGGGAATAAATTAATCAAAAGTGTGAAGATTTGTACAGTGGAAACTATAAAATGTTGATGAGAGAAATTAAAGATGACACAGATAAGTGAAAGATACTCTATATTTATGGATTGAAAGACTTAATATTGTTAAGATGGTAATATTACCCAAACTGATTTACAGATTTAATGTAATCCCTATCAAAATCCCAATAGTATTCTAGGCCAATTTCTTTTTTCTTTAATATTTTTTTATTTTGGCATATTGTGGGGTACAAATGTTTAGGTTACATATATTGCCTTTGCCCCACCCAAGGCAGAGCTTCAAGCGTGTCCATACCCCAGGGAGCACTGCACCCATTAGGTGTGAATATAGCTATCCCCTCCACCCCCCTCCCACCTGTCTGACACCTGATGAATGTTACGGTTATATGTGCACTTCAGTGTTAAACAGTTAATACCAATTTGATGGTGAGCACATGTGGTGCTTGTTTTTCCATTATTGTGATACTTCACTTAGTAGAATGGGTTCCAGTTCTATCCAGGATAATACAAGAGGTGCTATATCATCATTATTTTTTTGTGGCTGAGTAGAACTCCATGGTATACATATACCACATTTTATTAATCCACACATGTATTGATGGGCACTTGGGTTGTTTCTACATCTTTGCAGTTGTGTTGCTATAAACATTCTAGTACAGATGTTTAATAAAGAATAATCTAGAAGGACTGCACTAGTCCAAATTTGAAGTATTCTCCACCAAAGAAATATTTAATATATTGAACCTTCATACATAACAATGGTCCTTACCATGGTTTGAATGTTTGTTCCCTCCAAAACTCATGTTGAAAATTTCCAATGTGGTAATATTGAAAATGGGGTCTTTAAGAGGTGATTGCATCATGAGGCCTTTGCCCTCATGAATGCATTAATGGGTTAAGGGATTAATGGATTATTAGGGGACTGGGACTGGCAGCTGTTTAAGAAGACAAAGAGAGATCTGAGCTAGCTTGCTCATCCCTCTCACCATGTGATGATTGTGCTACCTGGGAACTCTGAAGAAAGTTCCAACCAGCAAGAATGTTCTGACCAGATGTGGCCCCTTGACCTTGGACATGTCAGCCTTCTTAACCACAAGAAACAAATTCCTTTTCTTTATCAATTACTTAGTTTCAAGTGTTCTGTTCTAAGCAACAGAAAATGGACTAAGATAGTAAGAAGCTAAGTAGCAACAACAGAAAGATCAGCTAATGAGACACTAATAAGAAGTGGCACAGAGCAGATAAGAAAGAAGAGAGGAAAGGAAGAAGGAAACATAAAAAAGACAAAGAACACTGAGTGAGAGGTTGTAATGATAGGCATTGAAGATGAGTATTAATTAATGAAGTATTAATTAATGAAGTATCAATATAATCCCTAATTAGCAGTATAATATTTCAAAGTATTTAATTTGAGGAATATGTCTTCCCCAAGCTTAGGATCAGAGAGGAATAAGAATAGTGAGAATCAGGAAGGGATACATCTGAGTGAAAAAAACGTTATGTTTTGGTATGAGCAGGATCTTAGGAGTTTGTGCTTTTTAATTAGTGAGACTTTCAGCAGCCACACAATACCATAGAAATGTTGATGGTGTATTTTCATAGGAAAGCTGTGGCCAATAAAATAGAATTTTCTGGCCCCAAACTCATGGAGTCTGCTAAATTTGAATATCTCTTTAGCTTTCATTTGACTTGTATATTTTGATATGTGATGCTCACTCAACTAAGTGTTTGTCTTGACAATAGAGTGACTTGCATATTTTACATTCCTACCCAGAGACATCAATTTTCTTAAAGTTCTGGAAAAGAGAAACATAGTTTTATTTACAGTTGTTATTTCTCTCAGGAGGAGACTAGGAAGTCATAAACACACCTGCTGTGCTACAATTGATTAGCCACTTCTATTTCTTTTCTTTCAGAGGTTTTGGTGACTAGGCTCTGGGATTCAGAGGTCATATTGAGCCTATATTCCAGTGAGAGGCAATATACATGCAAAGATCAAGAATATAATATAATGTGGACATAAAATATGTTCAAGTTGTTAAGAGATCAGAAAGAGAAAATGACAAATTCTATTTAGTGGGGAATGCAGTTCAAAACTTTAAAGAAAAATTAGTGTTTGAGTGATTTATGGAGTGAATGGGATTTTTCCAGATGGAAGAAAAATGAGGGACACCCAAAGTAGCTATAGTCCCTCTTCCTGAGTAGCACATTCTTGGTGAGATGAAAAACATAAATAACAGAAGGTGACATATGAAATCTAACACTGTAGAAAAACAGATTTTTTTGCATGATTTTAACATTAAGTTTATTGTTCTAACACAGTGTTTTTCTTAAATCCATTTCAAGTTAATTTTTGTGTATGGTGTAAGATGAGTCCAATTTCATTCTTTTGCATATAGATCTCCAGTATTCCCAACACCACTTACTGAAGAAACTATCCTTTCCCCATTGTCTACCGGCCAGGTGCACAGACACATGTGTCTCCTGCCAGGTCCCTGGGCAGGCAGAACTGCTCCCTGATCACAGTGGAGAGAAGCTCGAGCTGAATTACAAGACTGCTTCCTGATCCACAGTTGTATTGAGGTTGCCAGGCCTGTATCTGGGAACATGGACTGGGGTGCCTCCTGAAAGATTCTGGGGCAGGAAGAGACACTCCTGACCTATGACTGAGAGGGACTGGTGCCAAGTTATAGGGGCATTTCAGGGTATGCTATGGGACCTGGGTCAGTGGACTTGTCTCTGGGGGCATGAACAGGTGTGGCTCCCAGGAGGTCCCTAGGCAGGCAGAGCTTCTCCAGGCCCATGGCTAAGAGTAGCAGGAACCAGGTCATGGACTGCTTTGTGGTCTAGAGCCAGGGCCGAGGTCAGTGAGCCTATCCCCTGAGACACATAATATGCATAATTCTTCCCAGGTACCTCGCTAGATGATACAGATGGCAGGATGAAGGCCAAACAGGACTACAGCTGAGTCCATGGGGGAAGGGGGCTGTTTCTGGGTCTGTAGGTCAAAACAGTCAGTCATTTTGCCACCTTGTCTTCGGCTGCCTTCTTAAAACTGCCATCCTCAGTCTTGGCCTCCACTGAGGTTTCACAACTTTCAAGCCAGACCCCAAAACTCCCACCAAGCTCCCACAAAGCCATATGGCTGCTAAATCATTGTTGCTGTGGGGGCTATGAGTGGGAGATCTCCTGGTCTGTCATCTTGCTGACATCACCTTCTCCAAGATCTTCCTTCTTTTTTAATATAAGCATCTACAGCTACAGATTTCCCTTTTAGCATTCTTACTGCTACATCCTATAAGTTTTGGAATGATGTGTTTTCATTTTCCTTCCTCTTTAAGTATTTTCTAATTTCCCTTGTGATTTCTTATCTAACCCATTCAATATTTGAGAACGTGTTGTTTAATTTCCACGTATTTGTAAGTCATTTGCTTTCCTTTTCCTGTTCATTTCTAGTTTCATTCCATTGTGATTAGAAAAGAAAATTTGTATGATTTCAGTATTACTTCTTATTTAACCTGGAAGGTAAGGAAATGCTTTCTGGAAGAAGTAGCACCAAATGTGAGTAGGAGTTAGGAGGAAGGGAAGCAAGAGAGGAAAGAAAAAATTAAAGTCATAATTCCAGATGTTAACAACAAATTCCATTTGTCAACAACAAATTCCATTTGTCAACAACAAATTTAGACAATTTCAGTGTGGTTAAATCCCAGAGTTTAGAGAAGAGATGTTGATTAAATGTAAGAGATAAATCAAACTAACTTATGAATACATTCAAAAGAATCATGTTTTTGAGTGAGGCATCTGACTGCTTGGGTTTAAACCCTGGCTCCACCACTACTGGCTGTCTGATTTTTTTTTTTTTTTAAATCACTTGAGCTCCTTAAGATGTAGATTTCTCATTTTAAAAAAAGAACAAAAATATTTGTATTTAACTTACGGAGTTGTCCAGAGAATACAGTGAGATAATATGAAGAAGTGACCAAAAAAAGTGCCTTGTATATAATAAATATTTTAAAAGGGTAAATATATCCATTGTTATTAAGACATTTGGACTCTATAATAATGCCATCATCAGATGTACATGTTGGAATGCTCACTCCAGTTGAAATGTGGTGAGTGAATTATATGGTGGAAGCCTAGAGGCAAGAAAAGAAGATTAAATAGATATTTATTAATCCAGGTGAAATATAGTGGTGTCTTTACTAAGATAATGGTGCTAGGGTTGGAGGAAAGCTGGCAGATTTTCAAAAGGTTTAGAAGGTAGAAGCTATT